TAATCACTATGCTTTATGTCAATTTGTACAATGAAATTGGGGGTCATCACAACATGAGGAACTGTATTAAGGGGTCGCGGCTTTAGGAAGGTTGAGAACCACTGGCCTGGGTCCTGCTAGGTTAATACGGAATTTGACTCTACTGTTCAAATTAGCTTTGTCTTTCTCATTAAACGTGTAAATTCGTTGAGATCGGATACTTTTTCTTCAATTGAAATTTTATTTTGGCATAATTTGTAAAACTTATCTTCATTGTGGAGAGTATAACACATGCCTCCCAGTGCCTCCCTCCACCAGGTTCCCGGCCCCCTCCTGCACTGTTGTCTGTGATCTTGGGCAGTGCAAACTTCCATGCCTCTGCCTCTATTTAGTTCGTCAGTTTATTTTGTTCTGTTAAAGTGTAAAGCAGAAGACGCCTTAATAAGCCAACTTTATTTGAAGTCTTTTTCATTTCGCTAGCGCTAGAGGGCCCAGAGGAAATATCGCTTCTCAAATTCTGGGGCCCAATATGGTGGAAGTCTTCCTTATTTATACTTTTTTCAGCTCTTTGTCTTCCAAATTTGGAATGAGACTTCCCGACCTTCTGAGAAAAAGACCTTCTGAGAAAAAGTCCTGCATGAGACCATATCTCAAGGCCTGGCGCCAGCACTGACAACCCTGTCTGGGACATAGTTTATGGCCTCTTTGGAATGGGAGTAGTCTTAGTCTTCCCTATTATTTAAGCAAGCAAACGTTTACAGAAGCCAGAATAGCAGGGTTAAAATTTTAAACAGCAGTTTTTACCCAAGATGGAGGTTACTATACTTCAGTTCATTAGATTCCACATATAAGTGAGATCATGTGATATGTCTTTCTCTGACTGGCTTATTTCACTTAGCATACTCTCCAGGTCCTTCCATGTTGTCTCAAAGGGTAAGAGATCCTTCTTTTTTACAGCTGCCTATTATTCCATGGTGTAAATGTACCACAGCTTTTTTTTTTTTCTTAGATATATTTTTATTGATTTCAGAGAGGAAGGGAGAGGGAGAGAGAGATAGAAACATCAATGATGAGAATCATTGATCGGCTGCCTCTTGCACGTCCCCTACTGGGGATCGAGCCTGCAACCCGGGCATGTGCCCCTGACCGGAATCGAGCCTGGGACCCTTCAGACCACAGGCTGACGCTCTATCCATTGAGCCAAACCAGCTTGGGCCCAAAGCTTTTTTATTCACTCATATGCTGATGGGCACTTGGGCTATTTCCAGATCTTAGCTATTGTAAACGACGCTGCTATGAACATAGGGGTGCAGACATTCTTTCTGATTGGTGTTTCTGGATTCTTAGGATATATTTCTAGAAGGGATCACTGGGTCATATGGCAGTTCCAGTTTTAATTTTTTGAGGAAGCTCCATACTGTTTTCCCTAATGGCTGCACCAGTCTGCATTCCCACCAGCAGTGCACTAGGTTCCCTTTTCTCCACAACCTTGCCTGCACTTGTTTGTTGATTTGTTGATGGTAGCCATTCTGGCAGGTGTGAGGTGATACCTCATTGTAGTTTTAATTTGCATCTCTCTGATTAGTGACATCGGGCATTTTTTCGTGTATCTTGGCCATCTGTAGGTCCTCTTTGGAGAAGTGTCTATTCAGGTCCTTTGCCCATTTTTAATTGGGTTGATTGTTTTCCTTTTGTTGAGTTGTATCTATTTCCACTGAGTGGCTGTCAATCTCCTTGGAGATCTCAGTCTAGTAGCTCAGGTCCCAAGCCACTCTCGGAAAATTCCAGCTGTGTAGATGTGTGGATCCAGCAGTGTCTCCTCTCCACCCTCTCTGGATAGCCCCTCAAGGCCACTAGCATCTTGCCCCTGGAGGGGCAGTTTAGGGAGAGCCAGCCTGGGTTCTGTCATTTAGTAGCTGAGTGGCCTTGGGCACCTTACTTGTGTTCCTAATCTTTAAAATGAAGATAACAGTATTACCTCCAAGAGTTTTTGTGAGGATTGAAGTAGCTGTGTTTGGCCCATCAAAGACTAGCTGCTATTTTACATATATATATATATATATATATATATATATATATAATTTTATAATGGGGGTGGGAAATGATAAAAAATAGGAATGGGGGTAGAGAGACTCTTACTAACAATTAGTAGGATCACCGGTGCCACCATTAAGCTAAACCAACGCATGATGGTTAGTTACTTGTCCTTAACACGTCTCAGAGCGTGGTCTGTGGGCAAGCAACTCTGCCATCACTGGGAGCTTTTGGGAATGCAGACTCTCAGGCCACCGCAGACTCGATCAGAATCTGTTTTTTGACACGGTACCCAGCAGGTGTAGATGCAGCTTTGTTTGGAGTCAGTGTGAAATCAATGGTAAGATTTCTCAAGGAGTTCCAGCCTTAAATCACTGACCATGGGGATTTGCAGCTGACTCCACTAATGGGCCTCACCTCCTGGTCTTTCATCCTTTCTGCTTTGCTCATCCTGGCTCTGGATAAAGCTCTCCATCTGCTCATTATTGAGAAAGGGGCATGGTTTTGTGGGGGTTGTGGTCAAAACTCAGGGGCTTGCCAACCTTCTGAGTCACCTCCCCTAGTGTGATGCCCGCTATGGTGCTGTTTTTCCAAATCGCCAACCTCGTTCCACACTGACACTCCTGGCTTCCTACCTGGCTGTTTTACCTTCCTCTTGGTCCACATAATGATGTGAACTCTGTCAGCTGTTCTTTTTCAACTTCTTGAAAACCTTTGTCAATTTATTGAAGTTTGTTTTGTGGCCTGACATGGTCTATCCTGCAAAATTTTGTATGTGCATTTGGCAAGAATGTATATTTTGCTGCTTTTGGGTGATATGTGCTAAAAATGTCAATGAAGTTCATCTGATCTAATGTGCTATTTAAGGCCTCTGTTTCCTTGTCGGTTTTTTTCTGGGTGACCTGTGCATTGATGGCAATAGGTTGTTAAAGTCCCCTTCTATTACTGTGTTACTGTTGATCTCTCCCTTTATATCTGTCAGTATTTACTATATATATTTAGATGCTCCTGTGTTGGGTGTATAGATGTTTATAAGAGTTTTATCCTCTTGTTGGCTTCATTTTTTACAATCATTTTGAAATACCCTTCTTCATCTCTTGTGATAGCTCTTGGTGTATCTAGTTTGTCTGATATAAGTATTGCTACTTCAGGTTTTGTTTTGTTTCTATTTGCATAAAATCTTTTCTTTTTAATATATTTTTATTAATCAGAGAGGAAGGGAAGGGGAGAGATAGAAACATCAATGATGAGAATCATTGATCAGCTGCCTCCTGCACGCCCCCTACTGGGGATTCAGCCTGAAACCTGGGAATCGACCTGCCTCCTGGTTGACACGTCCACACTCAACCACGGAGCCACACCAGCTGGGCTGAAATATCTTTTCTATCCCTTTACTTTCAATCTGTCGTTTGATTTAAAGTGGGTCTGTTGTAGGCAGCAAGTGTATGGGTCTTGTTTTTTTATTCATTCAGTCACCCTATGTCTTTGATTGGAGCATTTAATCCATTTAAAGTTATTCTTGATAGCTATGTAGTTATTGTCATTTTATGAATTGTTTTTTGCTTCTCTTTTTCCTCTTAATTCTCTTGTTTTGTTCTCTTGTATGTTAATGACTTTGTATAGTGTCATGTTTGGTTTGCTTTATCTTTATTTGTTGTATACTTTGTAGATTTTGGTTTGTGGTTAGCATGTGCTTTATATATACCAAGCTATGTTTATAAGCAGTCTGTTTAAAACAATTTTAAAAATTTATTGATTTGAGCGAGAAAGAGAAACATCAGTTTGTTGTTCCACTTATTGATGCATTTATTGGTTGATTGTTGTATGTGCCCTGACCGGGGATTGAGCCCACAACCTTGGTGTATGAGGACCATGCTCTAACCCACTGAGCTGCCCAGCCAGGCCTGTGTACAAGCAGTCTTTTAAGTTGACGGTCGCTTAAGTTCACGGTCGCTTAAGTTCAAACACATTCTAAAATCCCTACAATATTTACTCTTTCCACATTTATGTTTTTGTCATTTGTTACTTTGTGTGTTTGTATGTATCCTGTAATTTATTGTTGTATTTATACATTATCTTCCTACCTTTTCTTTTAGTCTTTGTACTAGCTTTATAGTTGTTTGATCCACTGCTTTTACTAAGTGTTTCTTTCCTATACTCTCTTATTCAAATTTTGATCTTTTCTACTTAAGGGAGTCCCTTTAAACATTTATTGTACTGGTTTAGATTTTTCTTGTCTGGGAAACTTCTTTTTTTTAAAATATATTGATTTCAGAAAGGAAGGGAGAGGGAGAGATAGAAACATTAATGATGAGAGAGAATCATTGATCAGCTGCCTCCAGCACGCCTCCTACTGGGGATCGAGCCCACAACCTGGGCATGTGCCCTTGACCAGAATCGATCTCGGGGACCCTTCAGTCCACAGGCCGGCACTCTATCCACTGAGCCAAACCAGCAAGGCTGGGAAACTCTTTATATCTCCTTCGATTCTAATTGATCGCCTTACTGGGTAATCTTGGGTGTAGAGCTTTGCCTTTCATCACTTTGACTATTTCATGCCACTCCCTTCTGACCTGCAAATTTCCTATTGAATAATCAACTGACAGTCTAATGCGGTGG